AATATTTAGATAGTTATATGTTCTTGTAGTTTATTTCATTGCCATGGGTTTATCACGTTATAGTTGCTTCAGTGATCCTAAAAAAAGAAACTTTATATCTGTTGTACTTCATAAAGATTAAATATTAGAATAGAAATGAAATCTTAAAAGTTTGTGACAATTTCCTGTTTCTGCTTCTTTTTCAATTTCCTGTGCTATCTTATCAATAGAAAAGTGTTCAAGAAAAATCTTTTAGTGCAATTCCTTGTGGAACTAAAATGTAAAACCTGATATACCTATTGTCATCAAATGAATAACATTGTGAAGTGTAGAAATAAGTATAGATATATTATTTGTCTACACCCACACCCACACACACCATGATTCTAAATATTTTTGGAGGATTCAAGTAACGATAACTCTTGCTAAAGAATTAATTAGATATCTTATCCGTCTGATATTTACTTGAGCTAACGCTGGTATACCACAGTAATCGAGAATCACATACAAAAATTAATTTCTTAAAACCATATGATAAGAAAATGATTTATTTTGTTTCAATTTCAATATTACATTTTTGTCACGAGCGAAACATAGCTGTTTGTGAGAAGTAGCAATTCAGTAAGAGTTATATTCATTTAAGACGAAATAATAATACAAAGATTGAAACAGAAAAAGAATTTTTTATTCAAAAAATTTCGAAAAATCAATTTTTTGGGTACAACTCCTGATGAACAACACCGCAGCATCCTCACTCTTTGATGTACCCTTGAAATTATATTGATCAGTATAGAGTGTCGTTCTTCTGCAGTTTCATCTTCACTTGTAGCATGTTCCTAGATGAATCTGACTCTAAGTTCATCGACATCAAACTCATCAACAATTCTAAAAACATTATCTTAATTACCTTCATTAACGAGAAGCAAATTTTCGGTTTATTTTAATTTTGATATTAGCCCAAACTTTACCAAGTTGTTCTTTATAAAACTTCGATGGTATTACAAAGATAATGAATGTAAGCATAGGTGGAATAAATGAAACAAAATATCCAATAAGATATAATGTTGCATCATTGTTTGAATTCATACATTTGGATGCAAATCCCATGACTAAACGTGGTATTCCAAGTATAACTATTACAAAAGGAGCAACCAATATATGCTTATGTACTTGAATTTGTTCTACAATAATTACTATGTATTTTATTTTATTTCGAGTCTTTGCTTGTTGACGAGATGTTTTTAAGATGAGA